CCAAACCGCTTCCAGCCCTCCTGCGGTCCAGGAGCCACTGTGCTGGTGGGCAGGGCCCCGAGAGGGGGATAAACTCATCAGTGTTGGGGACAAATTCATCAGGTTGGGGACAAATTCATCCAGGAGAGAGGGCAGGACCCTCTGGCTGCGTAACAGCCTCCGACACCAGCCAGAAAGGGACGGAGCCGCTTTCCCGAGAAACCCACACAGTTGAAACCTAGGCGAGGCAAAGAACAAGAAGTCAGAGATTCCTTCAGGAGACAGGAGCTGCCAGAAGTGGGAAAATAAAACCAAAGGAGGCACGTGGGGCAAGGATTTTTTTATAGAGGCGTGAGCAGCACTCATGAAAACAGGCACGTGTGGACCGAAACGCTTTGGTGACGCTGCTCCGTCCAAGCCAGCCGCTGCCAGACCTTCCAGAAGGAGCTCGGTGGTGGGGACGTGAGACCCAGAGAGGTCAGGGGTGTTTGGGACAGCTGGGCCGTCCCTGTCCCCTCCCCGCAGCCCCGTGGGCTCTTCCCACGTTTCCAAAACCGGGGAAGCTCCAGGTCACCCTTGAGACAGCGGGTGGAGCAGAAGCGACCGAGCTCAGAGCAGCAAAAAGGCACCTTTTGAGGTAGGAAATAATTCCCTGGTTATCCCAACAGCATCTTTGGTATCAAAGAGGCACAAGGTCCGTCAGCAGCATCCTCCCCACTGGCTCAGGTCCTCCCGAGAGCCCCTGGGATGGAGGGGCCGGTTTGCCCGGCTTGGGGCCAGCTTTGTCCTCGGCATCCTCCGGTTCTCCCTCCAGGGCAGGTCCCTTCGTCAGCTCTCCAAGCCGTCACCCTGCTCGCCGAGGAGAGCATCCCGCTCTTCACGGGTACCGGGCTTTCCTCGCCGATAAGCAAGGAACTGGAAGGAGATCTGAGAAGAGGTTCAGGATCATCACGCAAACAAGGGTGGTCCCATGCCTGGAGGGGTTCAAGGCCAGGCTGGATGAGGCTTTGGGCAACCTGGGCTAGTGGGAGGTGTCCCTGCCCATGGCAGGGGGTGGCACTGGGTGGGCTTTAAGGTCCCTTCCAGCCCAAACCATCCTGGGATTCTGTGATCTATGATCAACCCACCTGCTCCTGCGCAACCCCGCCAGCCCCAAGCCAGGATCGCTCCCTGCAAAGCCATGTGGGCAGGATGTGATCCCTGAGGGAAGCGTTGGGAGAGGGAAGGATACAACCACGTCGAGGGCCAGGACGCCCAGGCTGCCCACCAGCCAGGGGAGGTGGTGCAGGACGTAGTCGCCTTCGCCTTGCCCGGGCTCCGGGTTCTTCAGGAGGACGCTGAGCCCGTAGAGCGAGTTCCCCAGCATCACCAGGGCGAAGAGGGAGTAGGAGACGCCGGCGGTGGATTTCCTCTTGTACTGGAAGAAGAGGGGCCAGAGAGGGGAGCTGGGGTGCAGCTCTCTGAAATCTCCCTAGGAAGCAAGATTAATCACCCTCCGCCAAAAAAAAGAGAAGCAAAAAGGTGGCGAGTCGATGCCAAGAGCCTTTTAGTTCCTCTTTTGCTCGTAAATAAAGACAAAATTAAAACCCCAACCTCAAAATACCGGTAGGCTACAGGGAGGGGAGAAAAATGAATCAAGTTTCAGAGCAGAATACACAAAAATAGTCCCTAATGAGAAGATCAGAGCCATGGATCTGGGACCTCTGAGCAAAGAGGAGAGAGACGACCCCACCACCCCTCTTCAATCTGCCACCCCAGGGCCCCGGGGGGTCCCCAAGCCCGGGCTCCCGGCGCGGCACTCACGTTGGTGTGGATCTGGGGGAGGCGGGAGCACAGGTACAGCACGGAGGAGACGGAGCCGAAAAAGCCGATGATCTCACTCCTGGTGAAGGGCTGCAAGGCACAAGGGGGGCCACGAGCAGCCCCCGGGTGTTCAGAGACACGCTCACCACCCACGCCACGACCCCGTGCGAGGTGGCAGCGGGGCCAAACCCAGCCTTCGGTCTCCCCATCCAGCCCTCGCCCCGCTCAGCGGGATCAGGACGTGCCCACCCCACCGGACGCTTCGTTTTCTCTCCCCTTGTCGCCCGGATTTAGGAACTGTCTCACCTTGGCCCCAGGCTCATCCCGGCGGGGGGACAGCAGAGATCTCCCTCGGAACGTCGCCGGGTCCTGTCCCCCGCCAGCGCCTCTGCCCAGCACCGAGACGGCCGACACCGTCCCCAGGGCAAGGAAGACAAAAGCAGCGTTGATGGGGGTGGTGACTGCGGGGAATTGAGCGGAGGTGGGTGAGGAGGGGTCCCCACAGCCTTGGTGGGTGCCAGGAGCCCCTCCCCGGGTAAGAGACCTTCAGACTCTCCCTTATCTCTGCGGCGGCACCGCCAGCACGGGCAAGGGCTGCCGCGGGATTTTATCTCGCAGCGATATGGGCAATACGTGAGCTATCGGGGAGGAAACTGCTCCTATCTCAGCAGACTGAGAGCACTCAGGTCTCTGGCTGTAGAGATTCTTAAAAATCTTTTTAAGAGACTGACTCAAGCCTTACAAATCATCCTCCCTGGCTGGAAGCTTTTCACCGTCTTAACTCCCGACAGCGCAGGTTAAATCCCGGCCGGAGCAGCCCTGCTGCCACCGCAAGCCTTGGGTTGTATTCTGTGAATGAGCTCTGCAGCGTTGAGATAACCACGGAGTCGATGGGCCTCTGTCAGGTGGTTTAATAAAGTCAAACGGCTTTAATAAGTTAAATAATTTTCAGGCTGCCAGGGGATGCCCATTTGTAGCTCATAGCAAGCTGCTAGGCTAAAAACCAGATTTTTTTTCTTGTTGTTTAAGCCTTGCAAGACCTGCAGAGCCCTGTCCAGGTGCCCTTCTTACTCCAGGGAAGAAGTTCTCTGTAATGTCAAGGCTGCCAGGATGTGCAAGAGGAGCATCGACCCTGGAATAGCCAGAAAACTTCTCCCCTTCCCCTAAAGCGCTGGCCTGAGGGTCAAGAGATCTGTCTGGGGGGTGTAAGTCATTTCTTTCTGTACTTATGCAAGACACTGCGCCTGGCAGTTCGCAGGGGTTTGCAGGAGCCCCAGGCACGGCCGGTAGCTATTCGCTGAGGCTTTCGGAGGTGCTCAGGTCATGCAAGAAAAAAACCCAGCAAGCAGTAAGAGGCGTCTGATATCTGCGTCAGGGCGTCTGCAAAGCACCTGTGCCGCGATGCATCTCCTCCAGGGATCGCTTCCCCTCCCTGCACGATGTGCCAAGGGCAGCGCGCAGCCCCACCGCCCTCGGAACCCCCAACTCACATCCTCCGCCCCCGTTCTTCACTTTGTAGTAGCAGTAGAGAGAGAGCATCACCAGGTCTGCCAGCACGTAGTAAACGGCCGTGTAAACCTGCGGGGAGAAGGAGGGGTCGGTCCTACCTCCAGAAAGGCTTGAGCCAGCATCCCGGGCAGAGCATCGCAGACTAGAGGGAGAAGGGAGCATCCCGGAGCCATTGGGGTCTCTGGTTCTTGGTGCTGGAGTAAGCAGCACCCATCCCATCCCCATCCCATCCCCATTCCCATCTCCATCCCTGTTCCCTTCCCCATCCCATCCCCATTCTCATCCCCATCCTCATTCCATCCCCATCCCCATTCTCATCCTCATCCTCATCCCAATCCCATCCCCATCCTCATCCCAGTCCCATCCCCATCCTCATCCTCATTCTCATCCCATCCCCATCCCATCCCTCCTCCCTGGACCCTGGGGTGTTCGGGAGCTGTCCCATCCCCGGCGGGCCGGTCGGTACCTGCAGGGGCAACTGGTCAGCCAGGAAGGAGCCGATGAGGTTGAGGAGGTCTCCACCCAGCCATCCCAGCAGGAAATAGATGGAGAGCGCGCGGTCCATGATGCCCGTTTTGCAGGCTTGGTAGAACTGCCTGCGGAGAGCGAGCGGGGCAGAGACACAAACCGTCACCCCCGGGGAGAAACCCTGCGACCCACGGGGTGCTCGCACCGACCCGCTGGGCTCGAGCCCTCGTGATCCGTCCCTCGTGCGGGGACAGGAGCAGCGGGGAGAAGCACCCGTTGCAGAACCGTCTCCTCTGGTTACGAAATAACGTGACGAGCCACCGCGACCGAGCGTGACCCCGCCGCGTCCCCCTCTGCCACGGCTGTCCCCAGCCTTTCCAAGAAGCTCCTGGAAGCATTCCTTCCGCACGTACGACCTGCG